TCGTCAAAGAGACAAGTAAAGTCAATATCTCGACAACCGTTCTGCCGAAAACGGTTACACTATCATTCCGCTTTCTGTCATTGTCTATCTATCTACTCTTTACATTATTATTCCACTTTAGCCCTATCACAACTTCTCACTTGTTTACACTCCACTCGTCCCTTTTGTGGCAAACCGAGTTTGGGCTCATCACACTTGTTATTTACCCCGACCCCTCTCTTTCGATGGGCTCATCCGACTCGGGTCTCGAATCCAGATCCACTCATTGTCTCGTAGATCCGTTACTTATCTTTCTGGTTGACCGATTTCCCTCGGTTCAAGGCCCTAGAAGCACCTACACTGCCGCTTCACGGAGCAGAGCGCCTAAGCTCTGATTGCCGAAAAGCCCCGCCGTCTACTTTCCTCATCGCGATCGGTTAGCGATAGATCCCTGATCCAGGTGTCTCCTTTTTGCTGGTCTTGCTCTAGTCTTGCTTTCTCCAAGCTTGCTTAGGCAGTAGGCAAAGTTATCGCTAACTTTACCTTCCTCAAATCTTCTGTTCATTAGATTTGTCTCCCCAAGGATGTTAATGGCCTCCCTAATCTTTCGCTTCCTTGTGTTCTCACCATATGGAGCTTTCCTTTCTAATGCCTTCCAATTTCTCTCGTGTTCAGTCTGTGCGATGTGTTCCACTGGTTCTGATCTTTCAGTATCCATTTTCCTGCATGCCCTCTGCTGTTCCTTGATTCGTGTGCTAATTTTTCTCCCAGTTTCGCCAAAATATTTCTGTTCGCAGGCGCCGCATGATATACAGTACATTCCTGAACAATCCAATTTTTCTACCCTTTCATGTTGCGTTGGTAGACTTGTGAACAGTACTGATTTCTCTTTTATGGCCACCTGAATATTCCATTTACTCAATATTGGCCATAGTTTTTGAGTTAGTTCGCAGGAAGGTAAGCATATCCACTTTGATGAGTCGTTCATCGTCCTTACTGTTCTTTCATAGTCCCCATTCTGCCATCAGCTTTTCATGGCCCGTATGTTTCTTTGTATCACTTCGCTAGGGTAGCCATTGCCGAGGAATATTCTCATCAATTTTTCCAGCTCCTCTTCCCAGAATTCTACATCCGTTAGGCGTAGGCTTCGGATGATCATGCTCCTCATTATTGTTATCTTTAGCCTGTAATTGTGATGGGACCGGAAATTGAGTATTATCCCAGAATAGGACTTCTTTCTAAACAATTTTTTTTGAGCGTCCCATTAGAGCGAATCACTTCAATCTCCAGGAACGGTAATCACTTACCTTCCTCTACTTCCATCGTTAATTGAATTTTTCATCAATCTTATTTACAAACTTCAAAAACTCTTCCCGTTTGTCTCTTCCATGTGATCAAAGTGCGAAATAATCATTCAGCTATCGCATGAACACTGCCGGTTGTAGCGGTGCCATCTTGAAACTCTCTTCTATTTTGTTCATGTATACGTTTGCCAAAATTGGTCAGAGCGATGATCTCATGAGAAGTCCAAATATTTGTTCATAAATTTTTCCGCTCTTATAACCATGGTTGTAACAAAGTTGGAAGGATAAGGTAATCAATTTATCTAGTACAACTCTGAAGGATAGTAAGATACTTTTTTTGGAAAGAAGAATGAATTTTGCTCTTCCAAATGAGGTAAACCATTCTCTGGAAATACTTGTTGAATTAATTAGCTTATCTGATAGATTGCCGAAAGACGTAAGGAATAGTATTAAACTGGAGGTGATCCCTCATTTTGACCATATAATAGCACCTAAGAAATA